TCTAGGCTTTCTGAGGTGAAAAATATATACATTTGAGATGAAAAATGATTTTAGTTAAAAAAGATTTCTGCTAAGCATTTGGCTGTTTTTGTTCAAGAAGTGCAGTGCAAACTAGAAATAAAGGCTGTGCCAGAAAGATGAGGCATTCATAAGCTAACGATACACGTTTTATTAGGAACAGGTGGAGGCTTTTGAGAGCTGGCGTTTCATAAATTTCCAAGCCCTTGCCAGGAGTCCCACCTGTGAATACTCAGTGTTCCCTTTCCTGGGCTCAGAGAGCATTCCCTTCCTGCACAGAAATCCAAGGAAGGGAAACCAAACAGATTGTAAAACCGGGCTCATAGGTTCATATTTGCCCTTTTTCTTCCTATTTTGTTCCATTAAGTCTTAAGCTGTGGGTGAGTGAAGATGAGAACCTGTTGGCCTAACCAGTGCAGAATGAAATCTGAGGCACTGTTTTTCTGAAGCGTTTAGAATTTTAGCCACTACATAGTATCTTAAGCATTAACAGCTGTGTGCCATGAACTCTGGTGCAAAATGTTAAGTGACCTTTGTAGCTCTATGGACACTAGGTGTGTGTGCCAGGAGAATAAAGACTGCCACCAGGTTCCTCCCTGACCACTCCTTTGTTTTCATGATAAGGACACTGACGTTCACTTTGCCAAGCTCTGGGTTCTGACTAATTAATTAATTCCACAGAATAATTTTTAAACAATGGCTTCCACTCTTCTTACTTAAAAACAAACTCAACAAAGACTTCCAGGAAAGAGAAAACCACGTTTGGGCTGTACCAAATGAAAAATAATAATAAGTGTGAAAGTCATTATATACTGTACCCCTGAACCTTAATTACTTCAGGACAAACACAGAACTTTATAATCTCATTACTACCTCCTTCCTCCTAACTCTGTTAAATGAGGGCTTAGAGGAAGCTGGGGCATCATAAAAATATACTTACAAATACATCTCGGTTAGTCACTTTACCAGAATTCTGAAGTCCCCAGTGCTGCTCTGGGCTATTTAATAATTGTAAACCTTCACCACCAGGGAGAGGCAGAAACAGTGCAGGGGACAGTCAGGTACAGCTCCACTATTTATACTACAGCGAAAACCTTCTACCCCATTTCTTTGGGTCCTGAAATTTCTATCTTATTGCTTTCAAAAAGTATTAAAGTAAAATCTGGAACCTAAGGGAAGGCATACCTAATCTTGGCAAAATCTAAAACTACTATCGACATCGCAATGACCTAGGCTTAGAACAGATTTGGATTATTTATCTGAATTCACTTGTTGATTGCCTAAGAAACACACACACACACACAAACCAAACCCGTTGCCGTGGAGTCGATTCCGGCTCATAGCAACTCTACAGGACAGAGCTGAACTAACCCATAGGGGTTCCTAGGCCGTAATCTTCATGGAAGCAGATTGCCACATCCTTCTCCCTCAGAGTGGCTAGTGGGTTGGAACTGCCGACCTTTAGTTAGCAACCAAGCTCTTAATCACTGCGCCAACAGGGCTCCTCTTGCCTAAGAACAAAACTCCTCAAAACTCAAGATAAACCAGTTTACATTCTTCTCATTGTCCCAATATGGGGATATATGTTGTGAATTATTTTAGTACAACTCTACTACCTGAAAAATTATTACAAGAATTCTAGGTCCGTGTGTGTGTTTGCGTTTTGTGGGGGATTAGAGGTAGGCCAGGGGTGAGGGGAGGGTGGAAACCCCAACACTTGCTGAGGTAACTCACAATTCAAATAATTTCCACGTTGTTAAGGTTGTTTGTAAGTACATTTAAAAAGGTATGGTTAACATTTAAGGAGAATAATACGTCATCTGTTGAAACTGTGGTTTTGGTAGAAGATAAGCAGGAATCAGCAGCATTCCAGTATACTAGCATATCACGTGTGTGAATTATGGGAGGGAGGGCAGTGGCCTGTGCCTGAGGCTGAACTGAAATGCAAATACATTGTAATAGGAAGTGTTCCTCTAAATATCTGCTACTGTATTTCAGTTTCAAGAAAACTAAAAACAAAACAAATACGCTCAGAGCCAATCTGAAAGAGCATTTTCTAGTAAACCTTGAATAAATATGTAATAATACATCAACTGGGGCCAAGTGAGACGTGGTGGGCAAGTGTTCTACAAAACCGACAATAAAAAAGACAAAAGAAACAAAACGTCTTCAGTCAGTTATTCTCCTTTGATTCATTTACTTTATTACTCCTGAAAAGCCTTCCATGACAACCCAAAGTTTCCTCTCAAATTTGGGTTGTCTCCTTCCCTCCTTATGAATGAGGAAATTAACCCCAGAGAGGTAAAATGACTACTTCATGCCATATAGCTAGCTCAGTAACTAGCTGATTTAAGCTGGCTTGTCCCTGTCTGTCCTTTGCACCCGTGAAAAGCCATTCTTCCAAATTGCCAACTTTCAGTGAAATTGTCAGAGGAAGATCCGTATCTTATACGAGGCAGAAATGGCTTGAAATTTAATTTACTCTTTTGGCCACTTAGCAAAAGCTCCTTCCGGGCCTAGTAGAAACAAAACACTTATTAAAAAACAAAATTTAGAAAATGAAAAAAAGGACCATTTTTAGTACAGGCCTTCCCCAGATTAGGAACCATCGACTTAAGGACAACTGGTACTTGCCCTTGAATGTTACGTAAATTTACTCTCACTTTGAAAGGACTGAATCAACCCCTGAAACAAATTCTTCATCACAATTACCTTCACTTGCTGCACAGGCAGCTTTTACATCACTGAAAAGGCTTTGAGCCTTTTCTTGCACTAAGTGAGGCTAAATAAGGACCACATGCACCTGTTTCGACTTACCTACAAGTTCAACTTAATGACAATTACGATCAGATCTCGTTCACAACCCTGGGACTGCCTTACAGATGTAATTAAAGATTTAGCACCATTCAAGACAGAATACATATAAACTTATATAAATATCCACCTACACGGCTTGTATTTTTTTCAAGCAGAGTTGATCGAAGAGGTACAGCATGCAAGGCTCGATACGAGGCACTTGGGCTATAAAGATGAGCAAATACAGGAAACAGAAAATTAACACAATATATAATTACTCTAAGTGCTATGAATAAAAATAAATGGTGCTATAAAGAGAGGATTACGGGGGCACTGATTTAGATGGTGGAGCACTCTCAGGAAAGTCAGCTCCGATTGCTGAAGTCTAGTAACAAAAACCAGGGGCCTCTGGGTGTGTGTAGGAGGGGTGCCATTACAGATAGGGGGAACCACACCTGTCTAAGTCATGGGGCTAGAGAGAGCTTGGCTCATTTAATGAACTCAAAGTAGGGTTACACAGCAGAAGAGAGAGAGAATTGCAGAAGATGGAGAGGTTAACAGGGGCTGTTCCACACTAACATCTCTCCACTTCCATGCTAAGCTCTCAAAGGCCAGAGCACCGTCAGTCTTGCCAAGGACAAGGCGTTTAGGTGATACCTGAATTAACCTGTGTGTGGTATTATTTAATTCTGTCCACTCTGTAAGAACAGTTCCCGCATAGATCTGAAGGCTGCTTAAACTAAAACTGCTAGCTATTCTACATTCCATTTCCCATCCCCTGCAGAAATCTACTCATTTTCTTCTTCATTTCCTTTTGTTTGTCATGGTGTTTGTTCTTGTTGAAAACCCCACAAATGCGATAAACCCCAGGGTGGCATTAAAAGAAAATTCTGCTGTTAGGAAAGTTTAGGGAAGAAAAAGAAGGCCAAACCTTCATGCACGCCCCTTCGCACTTTGGTGCCACTTTCACTAAGCATGGAGTCCTGGTGGCACAGTGGTTAAGAGCTATGGCTACTAACCAAAAGGTCAGTAGTTGGAATCCACCAGCCACTCCTTGGAAACCCTATGGGGCAGTTCTAACCTGTCCTATAGGGTCGCTAGCAGTCGGGTCGACTGGATGCCAACGGGTTACCGTAGTAAGCATGTATTTCCAATTACTAAACTGCCGTGGGAAACAATGACTGCCTGTTCCTGGGACTGAGAAGCGATGTGCCAAAACTTTCAGGATTAACTGTGTAAATGAAATCACATAATCAAACAGGAAACCAGATAGTGAGCTTGGGCGAGCAAGGACCTTGTCAAAGGTTACACAGACGTTAACTTACTATTTTTAGCATTAGTAGGTACTGCTCTAATTACGATACATGTATTAACGTGTTTAGTCTTAACCCAATTTCAGAGACGAGGTACATGAACAGGTACAGGCGATTCTTATTTAGCGTCAAATGTTTGTCTTAGGATACAGTATGTATTTTACCTTTCTGTGCATACAAATCACTCAAGAAACACTTCCAAATACACTAAAATATCTTCAGCATAATAATACAACTCAAATTTTTAAGACAATAGGTTTATGGCAGTCCGTTCTTAAGTACGAGATGTCCTTAAGTCGGATGTTTGTAAACGGGAACTACCTGTAACTGGCTCAAAGTCCACGGAAACTAAGGGACAGAAACAGAACCGAAACTTAGGCAGCTTTAACGCTAGACCACTACACCGAGTGCATCTTTCGCTCTCTTTTCCTATTCTAGAGTGTGCAACATAGTTTGGGGGCTCCAGCCGTATAATTAATACTTATTGCTAAATGACAGCTAGATGACTCTGTTAATCGTCCCTTCTAATACCTTCAACACGCTGGCAGACACCCGTGGGCCCAGTTTCTCGGACTGATTCAACACTGCTCTCTGCGATACAAAGCAGCGTAACTAAGTGGAAGCAAAGCCCAAATAAAGCGGTTTCGGGCAGGACAAACCTTGTCATTGGCAAGGGTCGGGGGACCGCCCGGGGAACCACTGGGTCGGCTGGAGCCCCTTGTTGAGACCCCCGCGGTACTTTCGGGGTCGCTTCCCGAGGCCGCCCCAGGCAGCCCCAAGCCCCCAGCCCCGGCGCAAACAGAATTCGCGAGCCCTCGCACCCCTCCCCAAGCCCCCCCGCGCCCCGCGCCCGCAGACCGAGAAACCGCCCACCTGTGGCTGCCCCGGGCCGGCGCGGCGCAGCCCAAGAGCAAAGGTGGCTCGGAGCCTCAGGACTAGCAAGACAGCGCGGGGCCGAGGATCTCCTCCACGGACCTCTCGGCGGTCGAGTGCTCCTGGTTGCACAACTTCCTCTGAAGTCTCCGGGAAAAGGGGCCGAGAAACGACCTCGGCGCCGAAACCCGCGGCTCCTGGTGGGGCTTCCGGGAGCCCAGGTATACCCAGCGCGCCCCTCGCCTGGTCCCCGCACTGGCGCCAAGGTCCTCGCGGCTACTGGAGCGGATCGACCGCCTGCGGCGGAGGCCGCCCCGCCCCTTCCTTGCTGGCTGCAGGAACTCAAGAAAACGTTAGTTCTGGGGTTACCGCTGAAGCCGAGGAATGGCGGAGGCTGCACCACCTGGAGCTGGGAAAAGTGGGAAAGTCGACTCAGGGGCAGCTGCCTCCAGGGTGGAGTTGGCGCGGCCTCTGGGGCACTCCCTTTATCCCGGCCTTGGCCTGCACCAGGCAGATTCCTGCTGCTTTTCAAAGGCGGGGGTGGGGGGTTGGAAGGAGGAGGCCTGGAGCATTAGCAAAGCGGGGTGAAGATTATTTTCCTTTTTGCGTGTCTTTCTGCTCTCGCTCCGTTGCTTTCTTTGCATCCAGTGATGACTGGAAACTTGTTGGTTTGAGTCAACCTGTTCAAGTGTGCTTGGAATGTTTCGTTTTCCGGCCCCGTGACAGGAAATGCTTGCTACTCTGATGGAAAACGCGGTATTAATTTATTACTGTTTGTGTTTCATAATTGTGATTGTTGATGAAGTTGAGCGTATTTTCATATGATTACTGATAATTTTACCATTTTAGTCTATAATTTGTCTTGTATTAACGCCCGTTTTTCTTTTTGCCTGGGATATTTTCCCTCTTACTGATTTGTTGGTATTCATTATATATTTTGCATTTGAATTCCTCTTCTATTAAAAAAGGTGTAGTTCTTCTTCCCAGTGGCCCTTTGGCTTATAACGTATTTAAAGCAACTTTCACCATACGTAAGTTTTCATTTTAAATTATCTTTCACTTTTTCATTTTGACCTCTGAGCTTCACGTCTTGTTTTGAAATTTTTTACTGTGCCCCAAGACATTCACTATGATTTCTTCCTGTTTATTTTCTAATTACTAAGAAGTTGAGATATTCCAATTATCTTTTTATTATTTGTAATTGTGTTTTGGTCCAAGGACATACGATGTATGGTTTCAGTCATTTGAACTTTTTGAGGCTTGCTTTCTGACCCTTTAGTCTACAGCTAAGTTTCATATATATTCTATAATTACTTGCAAAGTATGTGTAGACTTCAGTTGTTGGTTACGGTGTTCTATTTATTCTGTTAGGTCAGATTTCTTAATTATGCTGTTTTGACTTTTTTTTTTCTTCATATATTTCGGTTATGTGATTAGGCAAAAAAAAAAAAATTAGAAGTTGTTATAGCTTCCTGGTGAATTGAACCTTTATCATTATAATGTGTCGTATTTTCTCTCTAGTAACATTTTTCCTTTAAAGTCTGTTTTGTCTGAAATTAATGTTTGTTCTTATAAGTCTGGGGTTTTATAAGGACAAATAAATACATAAATAGACTCCCCTGCCTGTGCTTTTACATTCTCGAGGTCAGGAGAGGCAATTTTTTTCTGTGCTCTTCCCTCCTGCACCGTGGGATTTAATACTCTTTCATTTTACAAGGCGACAACTTTTTATGAGCAGCTCTTTCCTTCAGGTAGGCCCTGACCATTATCTGTGGTCTTAACACCGATGCGGTAGTCAGAGTCGATGGCCAAGGTCTCCTGTGTTCAGAAGAAACTCTTGCTTATGGTTCAGCTTCCTGACTGTCGACCTTCTGCTGCAGATTGGGAGGAGGACTACGAAGATCCAGTGGCTTCCATATTGAATCTTATTTTTCAACCTCTTCTCCCCTGATAAATATTGTGTTTCTGAATCCCAAGGCTCTTTTGGTCAGTTTTTACGCAGAAGAAACCTCCCATCCCTTGCTTAGGGTGGTATCCACCATTGCCACGTTGTCTGCATGGGGTTAGGAATGAGGGGGGCGAATCGGCCTCTGAATTCAAGCATTCCTCATTTTTATTTCTAAGCTTCAACTTTAACCTCACCTTTATTTGGCACCACTAAGTTCCCAGCCTCTCTGGGGGTTTCGTGGATGTAAATTGGATCTCCTCATTCTCTTATCCTTCTTTAGACACTTTAGCTTGTGACTCCTGTCTTGCAAAATCACTTATCACATTTGCCTCATCTTTCCAGTTTCTGAAACTTGTTGAAATCATACTCTCCAAAACACATTCTTGTCTTTGCATCATCCTTGTGGCTTTTTTTCAGCTTTGGGTTTTTAGCTTGTTTGTTGTTTGTTTTAACTGCCTTTCATTTTATCATCGTCTCTGAAGAAAATAACCATCTTTAATCAGAGCACCTCTGGGTATGGTATCAACTATTGTTGCCTACCCAAAATTCGTATCTGTTTTAACATGCTAAAATAGTGGTTCTCGAATTTTAGCATGCATCAGAATTACCTGGGAGTCTTTTATAAAAAAATTGCTGGGGCCCCACTTCTAGAGTGTCTGATTCAGTAGGTCTGGAATGAGGCCTGAGTGTTTGCTTTTCTAACAAGTTCCCTGTGAGACACTGCTGTTCCACGGACTGCATTTCAGGAACCACTGTGCTAAAGGAACCCTATTTTGTTCAAGCATTGCAGAGCAGTAGGCTCCTGGAGGGCAGGTCCTCCCTGCCCAAATAAAGAATTTTGATTAGCAGACAATCATAGTAATTCCATCCTTCTTTCCCAATGATAAGTGAATCATATGACTAACTTTTCACCAAAATGGCCTCTCTTGACCTTGTTGATGAAAAAGGGGAAGTAGAAATATATATATTTATTTTTTTGATATAAAATTGTTGACAAGTGGTTGTCCAGCCTGGGTCTACATTTCCTTGCATCTCGTGTGTCATAGATTAAGTTGTGTCCCCCAAAAATGTGTGTATCAGTTTGGCTGGGCCGTGATTTAGCATTGTGTGGTTGGCCTCCATTTTGTGATTGCAATTTTATGTTAAAGAGGATGAGGGTGGGATTGTAACACCACCCTTACCCAAGTCACATCCCTGATCCAATGTAAAGGGAGTTTCCCTGGGAGGTGGCCTGCACCACCTTTTATCTCTCAAGAGATAAGAGGGAAGGGAAGCAAGCAGAGAGTTGGGGACCTCATACCATCAAGAAAGCAGTGCTGGGAGCAGAGCGGGTCCTTTAGACTGGGGTCCCTGCGTGGAGAAGCTCCTAGTCCAGGGGAACACTGAAGAGAAGAAGGCCGACAGAGAGAAAAAGCCTTCCCCTGGAGCTGATGCCCTGAATTTGGACTTTTAGCTTACTTTGACTGTGAGGAAATAAACTTCTCTTCGTTAAAACCATCCACTTGTGGTATTTCTGTTATAGCAGCACTAGATGACTAATACATAGTGTGAGTTGTAATCAATGGAATGTTAGAAGAAGAAACAATTTGTGGTCCTTTCAAGCCAAGGGTTTTAAGAAACAGGCATGCTTTCCCAGTGCTGTTTCCCTTCCATTCACTTGATGCAGAAGACGATGAGATGCTAAGGGATGGCAGAGCTATGAATCAGAAGAATCCTGCAGCCCTGACGCACCATGTGGATGAAGGCTGCCTGTCAACCAGAAACCTTTACTTATACAGTCACGTAAGGGAAAACAAAACATCTGTTTTGAAAAGCCATTGGAATTTGTTATAGCAGCTGGCATTGCCCAAATGAATCAACTCTGGAAAGGCCAGGCAGGACCCACTCAAAAAAGGCCATATGTTGTGCTGAAGAGATTGGATTTTATATTTAAGAACCGTAGAATTTTAATAGAGAATAGAAAATGACACTATTAGCGTCTTGGTTTAGAAAGACTAAATTTGTGACAGTGTGAAGAATGATTTGTAGGATAGGAGAAGCGAAAAACAGATCACTTTAGTGATAATTCCAAACACAAAAAAATGCAACCCTGAGCTAAGAAAGTGAGATAGTGTTAGGAAAATTATAAAGGAGGGAAGGTATTCAGGGATTAAAATAATAATGATAAAGTGATGCTTGATGACTGAATGGATTTTAGGAATGGGAGGGGAAGAGAATTATATTAAGAGTGTTTCCAGCCTGGACAATTAAATGGATAGTAGTGCATACCTATAAATAGAGATTGCAGAAGGAGATTTGGGTAGAGTTCAATTTGACATGCCTGTGGGACATCAAAATAGAGCCAACTGGAAGATAGTGAGATATACCTGCGAGGAAAGAACGAGCAAAATGCACAGGTGGACATATACCACTAAAACTTTGCAGCATGAGGAGTTGGTCAAGTATAGAAACTTGGAATACTAATATTTAAAGAATATAAACTCTGTCTTTTGCCTAAAGAATACTGAAATGTAGGACAAAGAAGGGTGTGTAAAGCAAAAGTAGTTTTACTGGAACTAACATGGGAGAGACTTTTTTTTTTTTAATTGTACTTCAGGGGTGAAGGCTTACAGAACAAATAGTTTCTCAGAAAACAGTAGTACACATATTGTTTTATGACATTGGTTAACAACCCCCACAACATGTCAACCCTCTGGGAGAGACTTTTAATGAGGAAGTGATCACCAGTGTCACAAGATTCAAGGGAATGAAAGAAGTTGTGGCTCTTGTTGCTGAGTCCTGCTACTGAAGTCACAGGATATTGCCCTTTCCTTTGCACCATCATGTTGGTAAAGTAGAGCGTCAGGGAAAGAGAGGAAGACCCTCAACGAGATGGATCAACACAGTGGCTGCAACAATGGGCTCAAGCATAGTTAACGATTGTGAGGATGGCACAAGACCAGGCAGTGTTTCATTCTGTTGTGCATAGGGTCACTATGTGTAGGAACTGGCTCGACTGCACCTAACAACAACAGCAACGACAAAGAAAGAGTGTTACACATACCTCAGGTTAAATACAACGCCTGATTTCTTGTGCCTTCCACCGCCCCAGTTCAAGAAGGGAAGGGAAGTCACTAGTCCAAAGACATATCTCACAATCTTATGCCACAATCTGCAGCATAATAAAATGGATGTTATCAGAGAGGTAGGAACTTAGGACCTCACTGTAGCTCTAGGTCCCACTAATGTGCTGGTTCTCATTCTTTCCTCAGGCAGGGGAGAAAGAGAGGATGCGTGTCAGTCGGTAGGGTGGGAGTGGGCATGCTGCCACATCAGGTTATCCTGGGACGAGGCGTAGGAAGAAACCTTTCTATGAGGCTA